ACCTATTTTGAGTTGCAGCTGTGTCTGTGTTCAAAATGATGATGAATTCATTGCCTGTAGGTGTTAGGGATTAGGCATGATTCTTCCAAGGAAAAATTCTTGGGTGAGTAGGATAGAATACTTGACTTTTTGCCAAGATGTGTTTGGATTTCTCTAAAATCTTTTCATCTTTTTAAGGGTCAAGAGAATGCCATTTGGATGATATGGAACTTTTGCCAAACGCAGATTCTTATCCAAGGTTAACATATCTTGAGATCCATTCAGCAAAGTGATTTCTCCTTGATATTTCACTTAAAAAGAAAAGTTTTATTGCATAATGAGGTATATTAATGCCCTGCAAATGTAATGTGCCTCTGTGATATACAGAGTATTTTAGTTTTTATACACTTAGCAAAGCATTTATTCTATTATCACATAATCACTTCCAGCCTAAATAAAGAATCTAGAGCTTAATGCACAATGAATCCTATCTTCTAGCAGCTTTATTACTGTATCAGTTATTAATTTAAATTTGTGTCATTTTTAGTTAAAAAGAAAGATGGCCTAAAGATTTGTTTGCATTAGAGTATATTGAATATCCTGTACGTTAGGGTATTTAACATTGCAAGAATATGCTATGATATTATTATTGCAATCCAGACACTCTTAGAGTGCATTTAATCCTCCCACATCCAAAAGTGCTTTAAAAATCATAAATATAAGGGACTCCTTTAACTTTCAAGTGGTAAAACAATCTGGGAGATAGGTGTCTGAGTCACAGAAGTGGTGACACTCCCAGTAGTTAATAACCCAACAGTTTACACTATACTTTAGTACATGTCACCTCTATAAGTATGGGGAAGATGAATTAGATCACACTTAGCAACAACTTAAAGCTCCATGATCAAGACCTTGAAGACATACCAAGTAGGTCTGATCCTTCTTGTTTTTGTAACTCTACCTCCTGAAATGAAATGCAGGATCCCTTTGCCCTTGACTTCATGTTTCCCTGAGCTTATGTCTTCATGGTAACAGTAATGGTTACCATTCCCAATCACCTATGGCATGCCAGATGTTCTGTGGACATGGCCTTATGGATTCTTCATATACCTAATTAACCCCCTTAGGTACAACTGTTTGATTACATTTTATAGCTGAGGTGAGGGAGGAACTCAGATTTTCAGTAATCTTCCCCGATTATAATTTCAAAGTGATTTCATGTGTATGGAGGAGGGTAGAGGGATGTGTGAAATTCTCAGAGAATCATGACTTGGACACCGATTATGTGGCAAATTAGCCTATTATCTTCTTTTTCAGAGTTGACATCATTTCTTTTCTGCTCTATCCCCAACCAGGAAAGACACATCCAGGCAGAAAACGGAGGGCTAGATTTGTGCCAGTTGGGGTATAGACTATGGATTAGGGCCCATGCATATGAACAGTCTTCATGTGTATTGAGATATTAAGAGGAAGCATTTAGAAATATTTATAACAATTTGATAGTAACTTTTTGTCTGCTGACTTTCATACAATAAAGAAAATAGGCTTGTCTTTTTTAGATTTCACTTTATTTCATTTTTGTTTATAGAAGTATTGATCCGTGATGAAGGGGAGGATGGGGAAACTGATGCTTCAACACAGCTAGTTGAGAGGCTCTGGACTAAAGAGATAGTAGGCATGAAAAGAAAGCATGAATATTTAGTCAGACCCAGCTACTGGGCTCTGTGTCCTTTTTTGCGACAGAACATCATGGGGCCAAACAGACTCCAGGAAACTGGTGGCCGCACAGTAAATTGAGGTGTTTGGAATCCTAGATCAACTGGCACAGATTCCTATGCACCAACAAGTCATGGAAGGCACAGAATATAAGTCCCCAAGAAGAGGTGCGGCCATAGTTGAACGAGACATTGGCTGCACAAAGGTTGGTTGGGAAAAACCGAGGGTTATTTCAGCAGCCATCTTTATGGAACCCCAGAATATGACTGATATCTCAGAGACTCCCTGGAAAGAACGCATAAAACCAGATTATGGCTGCCC